ACAGGTATGAGATTAAATGAGTTAGAGCAATCTTTTATAATCTTTACTCCCAACTCTTGGAAAATATCAACATCTGTTCCATTTTAGGCATATGAAACAAATTGGTATCTATGCAATCCAAAGTCACATAATTTATTTTTCTTTCTCCTTCATTTATGACATTACTATTAATTGTTTCAGGAATTATTGTCCTCATGTCCCTCAGTGAAACATAGTACTTCTGTAAATCATTTAGAAATCCTATAGGGTTTTGTTTCTATTGTTGTTTTGGGTTTTTTTGCTGGTGGTGATTAGATAATTTCCATACATATGATTGATCTAGAATATGTTTTTGAGTTCCAGGAAAGACCTGTAGCTGTTTCTGGTATACAACTTGTCCAGTTGTAAGCTAAGTGATAGGAATCAAGCTTTCTTATCCCAAACTCTGTCCTCCCTATAGACCACTCTGCTAACTCTTACCCTCTCAAGACTTCTAACATCTATACTGCCCACTGACTTCTAAAGGTTGCAAAGGAAGGAAATTAATATCTACTGAATGCCTCCTTTGGGCCAAGCATTTTGCTATGTTGGGGACTCATTTAATCCTAGACATCTTTAGGAAAGTGCCATAAAAATCATCTTAAATGAGTAAAAAAAAAACTAATGGCAGTCAAGATTTGAGCTCAGCTCAGCTGCTGGGTTTTTTTCTCCATTATATTGCACAATATATCTTTAAATCACTGCCACACTTCAGTATTTGAGACCCTATGAATTTAAATAGTCTAGAAAAATATCAAATAACAGAACATGTAAACTAAAACAATATTGTAATATTTTTAAAGTGTAAAACTCAAGCAGCTTTATTTTAGAATATAATTGCCAGACATTGTCATGGAAGGATTGAAATGAAAAGTGAAATTTATTAAAATAATGACATTCAATAATCATAAAATCAAAATATTAAATTCATATAACTAATATTTGTTTATTCAAGATATATCATCTACTTATTCAGAGTTTTCATTGGAAAAATTATATCTTGGAAATGTGAAAAAGAATATGAAGGCAAATCTGGCTTAATTTTTTTAAAACTTATTTTTTTAATTACCTCAGTGCTAATTTTAATAATGACATGTTTCTGTGTTAATATGCCACATGCAAACTTAGAAAATCACCTTTTAAGATGAAATACACAATTTATTGTTGAGCCTTCCTCCAGTCTCATTTTGGTAACCCATTTGGTAACCCATCTGTCATAAGTCATTTTCATGTATGACTTATAAATATTTGAGAATAAAAAAAAAATGGCTAGCCACCAATAACATTTAGTAGGCATTTAAAGGTTAAAATCTCACAAAGACCCAAATGTCGATCTCAAGCTATTTATATGGTCAGATCCAGTATAGCAACCATGTTTTTCTCGAGAAGGGAGCCTTAAATTTACATTTTCTTAAAACCTTTGATGTTCTAAAAAATCCATGAATCCTTTGGCTTCTCAGTCCTTCTAAAGAGCATTGACTAATATCTTCTCATACATCAAGGAGGAAAATATTTATTTATCATTTTTCAAAACTACTTTTTCATTCCTGATACATAGTTCCATATTTTCCTTCATCAAGATTTCTTTAAACTCAAATTTTTATTTCTTAACTCTCCAGAATCCAAACTTATTTTTTCCCTTCAAATATATATTTTTTATAAAAATATAGTAGTTAATTCAGTCAATTGAAGAAGAAAATTCTTTTGGACTAGTTGTTTGACTTCAAGTAGCAACTTGTCTGTTGATTGGGACAACTTACCTTCAAGTGCATATAAAAATCTACACTTTTAGTTTCCTCCCACCTACATTTTATGCTATTGTTGTCATACTTTACATTTTCTTATATCATTTATTTACTATCAAATTATTGTAGCTACAGTCATTTTTAATATTTTTAATGTTTATAATATAGATAAAAGTGATTTACACACCATCACTAAAGTATTAGGGTATTCTGATTTTGACTATATGTTTACCTTTACCATTGAGTTTTACATTTTTATGTGTTCTCATCTTGTTACTTAGTGTCTTTTAATTTTAACTTGAAGAACTTCCTCTAGCACTTCTTATAAGGTCATTCTAGTGGTGATGAACTCCCTTAGCTTTTGTTTGTCTAGGAATGTCTTTATCTCACCCTCGTTTCTGAAGGACACTTTTTCTGACTATAATATTCTTGGTTGGCTTTTTTTCTCTATCATTTTGAGTATTTCATCTCATTCCCTCCTGGTCTTGAAGGTTTTTACAGAGAAATCCACTGATAGCCTTATGGGGGTTCACTTGTATATGATGAGTCATTTTTCTCTTGCTGCTTTCAAAATTCTCTCTTTGTCTTTGAATTTTAGCATTTTAATTATAATGTGTCTCAGAGTAATTTTCTTTGGTTTGATCTTGCTTTGTGTCCTTTGAGTTTCCTATACACGGATATCCATCTCTTTCTCAAGATTTGGGGATTTTTCAGTTGTTATTTCTTTAAATAAACTCTCTGCCACCTTCTCTCTCTCTCCTTTTTCTGGAACTCCCATGATGCGAATGTTAGTTCACATGATGGTGTCCACAATTCACAAGGGTTTTCTTGATTCTTTTTCATTTTTTCTTGGTTTTTGTTCCTCTATCTAATTTCAAATGTTCTGTCTTCAAGTTCTCTGATTCTTTCTTCAGCATAACCAAGTTTATTTTTGAAGCTATCTATTGAATGTTTTAGTTCTGTCATTGTATTCAGTTCCGGCAGTTCTGTTTGGTTCTTTTTTTTTTTAATTTAAAAAGTTAGACATTTATACAATCTGTGAGGTGATCCCCCCTATTACTCTATCATCCATCTGGCACTACACACTACCATTACAATAATATTGACTATACACTCTATGCTATTCTCTACATCTCCATGACTGTTTTGTCACTACTAATTTGTACTTATTTGGACTGTTGACTTGTCTACATCTTCTGCTAGACTGGAAGCTACTGACCAATATCATAAAGGAAGTTTTAGATTTAATAGGTATGGCAAGTAAATATCTAATGAATGGACATTTTAATTAAATAATAATTAGTATTACATAATAGCTTAATTCTGTGCTATTTTCTGTGATTTCTTACTCAACCAAAGTTTTTACATCAAGAAAATAGTACCATTGTAGACTGCTGGCATATGTGTATAGATATGCTATGGCAAATATCATTATTATTTTTTGTAAAAATTGAACTTTTTATAATATGTACAAATATATCTCTTTTTTTTAGTTTTTAGTTTCTTTTTTATTATGATCTCATTGGCTAAGGAAATCCAGTAAGTTTCAGGTATACAATTTAACAGTATATATATAT